GGGAAGCCTGCTTCTCCCTCTCCCACTCCCCCTGCTTGTGTTCCCTCTCTTGCTGTGTCTCTCTCTGTCAAATAAATAAAATCTTTTAAAAAAAATACACTCCTGAGGCGCCTGGGTGACTCAGTTGGCTGAGTGTCTGACTCTTGGTTCCGGCTCAGATCATGATCTCATGGTCGTGCGACTGAGCCCCACATCAGGCTCTGCACTCAGTGGAGAGTCTGCTTCAGATTCTGTCTCCCTCTCCCTCTCTAAAATAAATAAATAAAATCTTAAATAATAAGTACATTCCTGAGTTCCTTCAAAGGACACTGGTATTATAATTTTTAAGTAATAGATTACTTTATATTCCATTTTACCCCTGTCGGTGACACACAGAATACATAGACCTCATTATGGGATAAAAACTCAGTAGCTTCTAACTTAGTGGCTATAGACCCTCAGTTCGGGAGTCACAAACTACAAACGATTTTAAGAATGACCCTTAATTCCTCCTAACGCAGAAAGTCGAATAATGATCTGGCAAGTTGGTCACTGTGACAGTGAATCCTTATATTGCCCCAAGGTGCCAGAGGCCATTGTTAAGACACCTGTCCTCTCCTTCAATCCCTCTCTGAAAACGATAAAACAAGACAGCTTACCCATTTTCTGTGACTTTTGTAATCTAACTACTTAGCTAAAATAGCAGCTACAATCCAAATCAACTTCAGCATCATAAGAATTGTTATAGATGGTTAAAACCATTTACCTACAGAGTTCACCATTCTTCTTCTACCTTCTAATTATTCTCCAACACAGTGCATTGATTGGTAAAGTCACCATCATCACTTGAATTTCTGGGTTATAAAATGTGTGCAAACTCCCCCATCCCAATTTCTGGGCTTTAAGAATGCTATTTCTTTCTTTGAATATTATTAATATAATTCCCTGAGTTGGTTTACTTTATGTAAAAAAAAAATACAGAAAGAATTTTTTTCATTAGAAATAATGAAAAATCCTCAGGCTCAAGTTTAAATCATTTTGTAATTAAGCACTAATTGTATAAAAGACTGTTCAAAAGGGGAGCTTAAATTGACAACTGAATTTGTTCATGTGAACTGCCTTCCACATACATGATGGCAAGATGTGCATCGGGTTTGACATGCATTTTGGAAGCAATCACACAGAAGCAGCTGCTTTTTCAATAAACTTGGCCAGTTTCACATCTCTCTTGGTCAGTCCACCACAGTCGTGTGACGTTAGGGTTATCTGCACCTAAGAAACACAGAAGCAGTTTTTCAAACCTGGAGCTGCAATTCATGGTTCTCATCTTGGGTGGTTCGGAAATCAATCTATTATTCAACGTTCACATTTCACAATTGGGGAGATTAAATGATTTACAAAATACTACATTATGAATAAGCACAGCATTTCCAAAACTGAATAAACTCCGGGGGCACAGTCGGCTTCGAGCTGGGCCCAGCAGCCGCCCAGGGATAAAAAGGTCCTCTCATGTGAAGGGCAATTCAGCTGCCAGAATCTGAAATCTTGTCTCTCAAAAAAAAAAAAAAAAGAGAGAGAGAGCGAGCCCAAGAGAGACTAAGGGTCCATTTTAACTCCCATTACTTTAATTACACGACTATTTTCAGGCCACTGAGAAAGACCAAGCTATCAAATATAATATCTTAGCAACTACGTTCAGAAAAGCCCATTTCCAAATTAGGGAAGTGGGACAGGGGTGGGGTGGGGTGGAAGAACAGACTGTGGCTTCTTGAAAAATCAATTAAAAAGTACAAGCAAAATTATGTACAAAGAGAGGCAAGTAGGAAGGAAAAGTTTATCATGGTACCTGTATATTCTGAATTATTCCAGTAAATCACAAGTATATCAGGAAATGTTCTCTTTTTTCAAAGAGAATTTTTAAAAACAGAATCACATAGAAATCTAGATGATATTTCAAATGGCATGACCATAAAGGCAAGGACATTTGGGGTGGGGGCAGAGACCATGATTCTTCTTACTGAGCCCCCTTAAAAACTACTTAAAATCTTTTTAGCCTGCTCTTTGTCTTAAGAAGGCCAGTTCCCACTTAGAATGTAGAATTTAAAAAACAGTTATTTTTAAAGCACAGTTCTTGAGCATAATTATTTCAGTAAGTTAAATAAGGCCATCTCTCTCTTACTTGCTACCATTACTTTCAAAAATTTATCTTAGGAGGGTTTAAAATTTATCTGCATGGCTCATTTTCAGGTTTAATTCAGGAGCTTAATTTGGCCCAACTAGCTCATATAAACAGACAAGCAGGAAAATAAAGAGTTTGGTCATTGCTGTCTTGAGCGAATTGGAAAATTTGTTACAAATTTGCAGTAATACCCAGGGATCCTCAGTGAAAGAATAAGAGAATGCTTTCCTAAGCACAATGACACTTGACACATCCCTGCACAGGACAACAAGGAAGAATGGAGTTTCTTAAACTCCATAGCTAAGGTGATCCCCAAATAAGGCAATTTAGTTACCTTGTTGTACACATTGAACCATTCCGGGTGATGATTCATCTTCTCTGCTTGCAGGGCGACTCGGGACATAAAGCCAAATGCCTGCATAAGATGAAGCTGAAACTGATTAGTGGCACTGCCCTCTACTCTGGACCTGGGGGGGGGGGATGGGGGGAGAGAGAGAGAGAGAGAGAGAGAGACCAGAACAATCCAGCCAGATAAAGACAAGGCTAGGATCCTTAGGGAAACCTGGAGAAATCAAATATGAAAACGATTGCTCTCCACAGAGCTGGGGTAACAGTGTAGCAGGACCGTGACCTGCTGCTCAATGGTGAAAAACAATCAGGCTCAAATAAACAAACCAGGAAATTGGTCTCACCCAGTGACCTGTCTGGACTGTTTAATTGTCCTCAGGACAAGACTCGCCAAAATAACACAAGAGTAATTTCCCTCCAACCAAGTGCCCTGGATCTCACTACCTGGCCCCAAATCTTAGGGGCTACTTTTCTTGCATCACCACCCCTTTTGTGTTTGGTCACTGGGTTGCTAACTAAGTCATCAATCCCAAGACTATGGGAAAATATCTCACTGAATGACTTCCCCATCCTAGCTCCCAGACAGGACAGGAGGGGATAAAAGACTTTTTTTTGACATATAGAGTGAAACAGGGAAGTCTGGGTTGCCTGCTCTGGGTCTCCCTGCTATTGCCCAGCAATGCCACGTGGAACAGAAAGCACTCCTCCCCAGGGCAGGGGGTGGCGGACTCAGACATATGCATAAGTGCAGACCTGTAGGGCTCAGTCTTCATTCCATAGGGAAAGTGCAAACCTAATTTTGCTAAGCAGAGGCAAACTTGTCCTGAGAGGATGAAAAGCTTTTTTTCTTTTGCTTGCTTTACAATTGTTATGAAGGTAATTGCAAACAATAGGAGAGTCTGTCTCTAATGTGTCCACAAGACAGAAATACTTGGTAAGACTCTAAGGTAATGGTACATTAACTACAAATTTACAGTGGAATTCACAGGGCAGTACCCATTGTAGCCATACAAATAAATATTTAATTTCGTTACCCCTATCCAGAAAAACCGATGTGATGGTAATTGAGCTGTTTTTTGGATCACCAAATTAGAGCACATTTCCAAGTTAAGAGTGAGAAGTAGGGAAGATGCCATTTTAAACCATTCTATGTTATTCATAATGGTTAGTATGTCAGAATGATTTTATTCAGGATAAAAACTCCCATTTTGGTCTTTAATTAAAGGCCTGAAGGTTTTTCCCTGTCAGGAAAAGGAAGAACATTCAAGCAAAATCCATTTAACCATGTATGGAATTATCAGTGGAAAACAATATTCATTCTCCCCTTTCTCCTCTCATCTCATAATCTGATTCTCTGTGTCAAATGTGAAAGTCTTTTAATTATTCAAACTGCATTAAATGATGTATAATGAAAATATCTTAGTCTATTTTGCCTATAATGCCTTATTCTTGTTTAGCTTTAAGACTACCAAAAAAGTTAACCACAATCCCTGAGAAATAGTAATACAGTCATTAAGGGCATAGGCTTTTGAGCCAGGGAGGCCTGAATTCAAATTCCCAACATACAACCTGTCATGTGAGCCTCAGTTCTCTGATCAGTAAACTGAGGATAATAATAAAAAGTTCATGTAGTCATCCTAATAAAAAATGAGAAAGGGGATTTCACTTAGCACAGCACTTGGCACTGGATAAGAGGTCAGTAATGGCTGACACCACTACCACACATCACTCTGGCGAGACCGCGTATGACCCTCACAGAACGTAAAATAGGTGAAAAGCCCTCCCACAGCCTTAAAAATCTAAGATCCCAGTAGCTGTCTCCCAGAAGAATGGTGCTTTCCTATTCCACATGCCGTAAACGGAGACTCAAACCCACACACCAAACAGATCACATACTACAGGGTAACAACCTGATGCACACTGCCTGAGGAAAACACAATTATGACAAGATATTAGGTGGGCAAAGTCAGTCCCTACCCAAGTTCTTAAGCCCTGTGGCCACAATTTCTTTGAACTATGCTATCCTAAAGGTCCAAAGTGATGCTTAGCATCCGTTACTATTTCCCAAGAACCAAGTGGATCAAGGGGATGATTTGAACACAGTCAGAAGTACTTCTCAAATCTTTGATTACCAGCATGCTATCAGCATGGTAGCAAAATCTACTCTATCACAGATACGGCTTAAAAGAAAACACCCCTTGGGGTGCCTGGGTGGCTCAGTTGATTAAGCATCCAACTCTTGATCTCAGCTCAGGTCTCAATCTTTTGGTCCTGAGTTCGAGCCCTGCAATGGGCTCCACACTGGGCGTGGAGCCTACACAGAGAGAGAGAACACCCACATTCTAAGAGTTACATTGATCAAAGAAAAACCTTGGGGCGCCTGGATGCCTCAGTCGGTTAAACATCTGCCTTCTGCTCAGGTCATGATCCCAGGGTACTGGGATCAAGCCCCACATGGGCTCTCTGCTCTCAAGCCTACCTCTCCTCTCCCTCTGCCTCCCACTCTGCCTACTTGTGTACTCACTCTCTTTTTCTCTCTCTCAAATAAATAAAATCTTAAAAAAAAAAAAACCTTCTACCATATCTACATACAGTGTAAAAAGAAAAACAAAGGACACTTCCAAAGATCCTCCAAACTTATGTATTCCTTAGCTTTACATATTTCCCTTCAACTGTCACCTAATATTTGCATTTAATAAAATATCATAAGCTTGATAAACGATTTACACAGGATCCACTCCTAATTCTTCCCAAGGGAAGGAACACTTGCTCCTGCTCTGGGAGCAAGGAGACCATTTCATAATCCTTCTTCCATATAACAGAACCAAATAATCCCCCAAATATTTATTTTTAAATCCGCAAATTAAAAACATTCACAACAATACACATTCAAATTAAAGTAAAAGGATTTCTGCAAGGAAGTGAAATGAGTGGATAGGAGAGGAAAAAAACCAAACCTCAAAAGGGAACTTTGATTATCTGGCATTAATAAAGAAGGAATCTGACTGAACAGCAAAATGGGCAGATGGTGAAAAGCATCTGTCCCTTCTTTCTAAGATTTCTTTTTTACAGCCCTAGCTAGTTTTTCCCAGGATGCCAGTTGGAACCTACAGGCCTTGAGCTAGGTAAGAGTGCAGGCTTTCTAAAACTATTCCATCAATGACAACTGCAGAGTGTGAGGCAGAATGCACACCGCTAACAATACAGTGAGAAGCTGAGAGGACAGGACTAAGAAAATGGACAAAATGAAGTAGAAGTCAGCAAGAATTTGTAACAATTAGAAAATAAGTACATATTGCTTCTCGGCCTTTTGGCTAAGATCAAGTGTAGAAAATAAGTACAGAACACAAAGGAGATCTAACAGATAACTTTTGTGAATAAGACAACAACAAACAAACACAGAAAGAAATGAGAGATGTAATTCAAAAAATTCTTCCAGAAATAAAATATTTAAATTTATAGATTGGAAGAATTCAACCATTTCTAGACATCCTAATGAAGTTAATGAATTTGAAGATTAAAAAATCCTTTGGCATCTAACCAAAAAGATCAATTCACCTATAAGGATGAAAATAATCTGGCTGACTTCAAACTTCCACCTACCAGCATTGAACAAAAGAAGTCAGAGGAGCAATGCCTATAAAGACTTTAGGAAATCAAAATGCAAAGAATTTTATACCCAGCTAAACTGTTGTTCAAAATTAATACAAGAGACCTAATTTTTAAAAGACGTTAACTCAGGGAATAACTCCCCTTCACCCTTTCTGAGGAAACTTTTATTCAAGGATGAAATACAAGTAACTAGAGAAGGATGGAGAAACAATATAAAAGTTATCAGCAGTGAGCCACTAATTCACTCACGTCTAGGAATAAATTTAAAACAATTGTGGGGATTGTAGTCACAGAATGGAATGTAAATATTATAAACTATTAAAAGATGTGGAAGAAAAGGAGAAGAAATGGGGAAGGTAGATGAAAGTTTAAAAATTCTAAAAGCTGCAAGATCAGAAGCATAAAACTAAGCACTAGAAACAAAAAATAAAATGTAACAAAACTGCATGGTGTAGGGAAAGTAAGAGAAAGCAGAAGTTTAATTTTGATATTGCTTAGTGGGGAGACCACTATCTAAAGAAATGCTATCTAAAGAAACAGGATTAAGTTTGCTATGTAAAATTATAGGTATAACAGTACCCACAAGAAGAACAAAAATAATAATAGAAACATTCACAATTAGGTTCAAGGAAAGCACAAGTAAAATGAAGCAAACAAAACACAATCCAGGGCACCTGGGTGATTCAGTCAGCTCAGGTCATGATCCCAGGGTCCTGGGATCGAGCCCCGTATCGGGGCCCCCTGCTCAGCGGGTAGTCTGCCTCTCCCTCTGCCCCTCCACCTCCCCCTGCTCGTGTCCTCTCTAAGTGAATAAATTTTAAAAATCTTAAAAAAAAAATAAAACACAATCCATGTCATAATTCAAATTAAGGGAGGAAAAAAAGTATATTGGTTCTGTCATGTTTTACAAGACCAAACATCTTTCCAATCAATAAATGTAAAGAGCCATAATCTAACCAATTAAAAGAAGAGAAAACTTGGGGCGCCTGGCTGGCCCAGTTGGTAGAGCATGCAACTCTTGATCTCAGGGTTGTGAGTTCGAGCCTTGGGTGTGGAGGTTACTTAAATAAATAAAACTTTAACGAAAAAAAAAGAAGAGGAAGCTTTACATGGATCACAAAGCAAAACTCAACTGTTGGAAATAAAAGGACACAGACAAATGTAAAAAAAAAAAATTTAACTTATAAACGTATATCCATAATGAAGATTGAATAATTTTGAGTACCTATACTACAAGTAACACAGCCTCAAAATCAATGAGGCAGAAATGACAGGAAATACAAGACAAACAGAAACATCCATAGTGGAAACTTTAATTTCCATTTCTTAACCCATGGCACAGTAACCACACAAAATCAAGGATATGGACTACTTAAATACATCATTTAAAAGGTAGATCCAATTAATATACTTTAAACTCTAAACAATGAGAATATATCTTTTAAAGCGTCTACT